CCAGTTGAACTTTAAATTCAACTAAACTGACCGACATTGAAATGTGGGACAGTTCTGATCATCGTTTGAAACTTTTCAACTACTCAATTTGAAGACCATTCGTCTCATTTTTGCAGACCAGGGGAAAACCTTGTTCCATTTCTTCTATCAGCATATTAGAGTTTGTGTGTAGTGGTTCTCGCACTGGAGACCCCGAACGATCTGTCACTAGCAAAACGGTGCTTACAAAGAAACTAAAATATATACATCAGCCACATAAATTATGGCCAACCATTAGCCAATTGTCTCCTAGTGAACTACTCGGTAGGTCTTGCACGATGGTTACCAAGACTATAGACATCCAACCGCCTTCCGTATGCCAAGTTGAAAGAGGTGAAGCAGGCGACGTCTCAACGTGGTGCAGGTCACGTAGAACGAACGAAGCGAAAACTATCGACCTGCATTGCCACGGTTGTGTAGCATGTATAATGTAAAGTGCAAAATGATGTACCTGTACCGAAAGCACAACTAGAGCAATTAGAACGAAAGCAATAAGTCGAAGTCCTATGTGGTAATCCAAGAACTATATTTCGACAAAGTTGCAACCATCACCTAGTTTGGCCCAGTCATTTTCTTCGATTTGTGTGTAGGTGCCTCACCTTGTTCAAATGATCCGAATAAGTTTCACAAGCCGAAATTAGGTTCGTCTGTTACTGTTAGCATCACTCAGCGGCGATTCACTGACCCACACGAGCACTTACTCACAGGAGGCCAAACTCGATGCAACCTCGATAGTAGGCGAATCAGACACCAAAATTACTTCTCTCTGGATGAATGAAGGTAGTACTCGAATTCAGAATCCCGACGGAGCACAGTTTACAACAAATATCAGCTTTGGTTTTAACTTTGCCTATTGTGTCCCTATCCGCGTGACTTCCTGAGATTATTGCCTGAATCAAAGTCACCAGTTAATGTTCGGATCTTAAACGACGAGACGCGTTCCATTTGGATGCTGTTGTTAAACGCATTACAGAGCTAAACGTTAGCATAATAGACACCGATGGAGCCGCGCATAATTTTACGTCTACTAAACCAAAATACAGGATTACAAAGAAGGGCGATTGAGATGCCCGATTCAGCTGAAAAGGCAGTAACAACGAGACTCGACGTAACAGAATGTGTTAAAACTGAACGGATTATGGAATCGACTGATTAACCGAAGACATCCATCCTGTAGGGACAAATTAGCTGGAGGACAGCATCAGCGAACCTTTTGAATTGCTTTAACAAATTGGGAAATCAAACGAAGAAAGGAGGTGTATGGTCTAGTTAGATGTGTTTTCATAATACGCACAAATCCAACTAGGGGTAGAATTGGACGCGATTAGCAGATGTGTTGTAATGTTGGTTTCTAGACGCACCAGATTCTGTAGTCGTTTTACTCTTACGCAAATTAATGCCGCTATATTAGATTGGCAATAACGTTGTGGCGGTTTTCTGATAATTATATCTTATCACCTGTACTGCTGAATAAATTTTTGTAATTTGTCTTGACCATGTATGTCATTTTGTGGCCTGTCACGCACTCTATCTAGAAATAGTGTTAATTTAGCTCAGAAACACCTTCTTACATCTCAACAGAAACTTTAATGCAACATGGACAGAAGGTCAATTCGCACAATTTGCTTCTGCTCATTTAAACATGGAAATACTACAGCGGAAACAGTCCGTGACATCACAGTGCGTTTGGTGCTGGAACCACTAATATCTGTACTGTACAACAATCATTTCGAAAATGGCAGAAATTTAAGGAAATGTTTAAAAAGAGCGCTGTTGGCGGCCATTGGAAGTGAACAACGAGCCCTCACTGGTCTCTGTAAATGTGGATCCACATAAATTTATTCGAGGTCTTGCTGCTGACTTTGCAGTATCGCATGTGACATTTTTAAAACATTTACGGGGGATTAGAATACCGAAAAGTTTTCCTAAGTTGGAGCCGCAATAACAACGACCCGTTTCCCGACCGGATTGTGAATTGCGATGAATGGTGGATCCTTTATGAAAATCAATGACGAAATCCACGGACAAATGCAAAAGTCCACAAGACTTCTTCAAATCGGACTTGCACCCGAAACAGATTAAAATGACTGTTTGGAGGTTCACGGCGTGTCTGGTCCGCGACAGCTTTATAATATTCTGGGGAAACATTACAGCGGCGTAGTATTGTCAATAAATTTTCGACATGCACAGAAAACCTTAACACGGGTGCTCGGCACTGGTCAACCGAAAGAAGCCAGTTATCCTTAATGCTAACGCTTGGCCGCATTTCGCACAGACAAACCTACGGATGCTGCACCAGCTGAACTACGAAACTTCGCCTTATTCCACTTACCTCTCCCCATAAACTAAAATTTTTTTTCACGCACCGGGGTAACCTCCTTTGGCAGTAAATTTTTAAAGACTTAGGATATGTGGAAACAGCCTCCGACAGTTTCATCAGCACCAGAACACTGGAATTTTATTTATCCGTTGGCAAGTGTGTCAATTCGAATGATATAAATTTCGAATAAGCGTGTTACGTTTGAGCCGAGGTAGGTGCATTTAAGGTTCATGATTACAACCTGTAATAACTTGGTTACCAACATAATAATGCAACTGGATCCTGTGCGGACGCATTGTTGACAACCTGTTACGTACGTATTCGATGATGATATGCAATGCTCACAGAGAGCTAGCAGCATTTACTCGCTACTGTGGATCACGCATTTTGGGGCACAAGAATTCCTAAGGGAAAACCAGCCTTTGTTCGCATTGATTCGTGTTTCCTTTATCCTCGTGAGGTTTTATGTTCATGTAAGGACGCACTTTACGATATCCAGACCGTCTCCGCCTAACCATGTTGGAAATGAGCTGCAGTTACCCGCACGGTATGCTAATGCGCCATGCGTAACAGCCAAAGTAGGCCGGCAATAACTGACCTCTTCTTGGATTTATTGGCAATAACAAAGCTACATCACCATATCTGAAATGCATAGTCAATAATCAAAGACTGGATGGTGCGTCTGCGTTGATTGAGACCGCTAAACAGGAGCGCACTAAATGGAGCTACTCGTTGTGTCTCAGGGCGACTTTTCTTCAGAGTGGATTTCACCCGCACGAGTAGGGAATACGAAGGTTAACCGAGGCATATTTGGAACCGATAGTTAAGCTGGCATAACGAAGAAACAGGTTGGCACGTAGGTGGACAATCATCCACACTATTGCACAGCTGACACACGCTGGTACGGAAGAAAATTCTACAAAGCTGGTAAAAGTTATTCCAACATAGGTAATTAGGGCAGTGAAAGCATAATAAATAAGCCCCTCCCACGTTGGTTCGCACTCCATACTCCTACCCACGTGAAACGCGGCTAAGCGAGAGCAACCACATTTAGCTCAATCGAATATTGCTACCCAGTGGTGTAACAATTAGGTCGCCGGCAGGTACGTTGACAAAATTTTCACCCTGAATTAGGGCAGAACAGGCGCGTGAAGGCAACACAATCGGCTCATTGTAAAGTGCAGATTAGATTTCGTTGAAAAGGTTGATCGTTTAGGACACGGAGGTAAGTGTGGTGAAAGCGATCACAATGGAACAAGTACTGGAATTTCGGGGAAGAACGTTCGCACAGGTATGACATACGGCCCAACGGTGTTGTTGGTCATACGAAGTAACATTAAGATATTCAGCCATCAATCTACCCAGATATTTTACTCTTTATATTTGTTATCGGACAACCTAGGGGGCAAAGCGCCCCTCCAGCCCACCCACATAATGCTACGCCGCCGTTGCTACCGCATAAGCATGTTATGCACAAAATAAAGTTTACAAGGATACGAAATTCTATCGCTCGCTATTTCTGTGAGAAAGATAATCGCAAGCAATCAAGAGTCCCTAAGATTTTCTGAAGCACATTTTACTACGAATAGGCAGTCGAGTATCCCATCCGATATTCGCCAGCTAGCCAACTAGTTGGTTATCCTTCCAGTCGAGCAAAATGGAAAAAGCAGTGTTCAGGTCGATGCAAATAGGTGATTGCATTTATACACGAAAGCACATGTCATCATATTAAAGTAAACAGATCCAACATACAACACCAGTTTGCTCTCATAATGGTCGTTCGGAGACATCTACATCCACATCGATAAATGCTCTGAAGGCGTGCGGGGAAACGCGTGCTCTGAAATGAAGACAAACGGTAGAAATTGGCTAGTTGAACGCTGCCTCCCATAGATGCCGCGCATTCCAACGAACTGACAAATGATTCAGGAGAGTGTAAGTATCTAAGACCAACATGGGAATAGATGGAAGACGGCTGCGAATGAGATACAGAAACTAGACTATGTCACCTGAAAGTCGTACATCAAACGTATTCCCCAATGATCACATGCGTTTGCTACTCACCTGCTCACAAGTGGCCATCCCATTCACCGCATTCTTGTTAACCTCGGTAGCCACCGTGACCACCAGGGAGACACGCTCCTCTGTAATTACCACATATCCTCGTATGGCTTCCATCTTGCCTGACTTCGCCATTGTCAGCATTTTTCTTTTCCCTTCTATTTGACACTTTGTTCTTGGCAACATCGTAGACCACCTGTCGTTTAACCAAGTGGGCATTCATGTCTTGGTCGTTGCCGTGTTTCGGATTCCACGAACTCGACGCTGAATGTCCCGTGTTCGAATCGGGTGCCACCGCACACCAGCAGGTCAACGAAACCACGGAGAGGAGGAAGACGAGTGAGAACGTAAAGGAAAGCTGCAAAGCAAACAATTGAGCGAGTGAATTATTCAACATGTCAAATCGGTGTTCAGTGTGAATCACCTGCACGATTCACTTGAGCCAACACGCAAGCATGCCTTCTCTCAACAGAATTGCACCAGAAGAGTTGAACTGATAACAATCGCACGCGCGTGGACCGTAATATCACTCACTTACCATCACCGAGTTTACTATTTTCTGAATTGGATGGGTGGACACCAGCTCCTTTTATACCATGTTTTGTTAAGCAAATTCAGAGCAGAGCACGTACAATTGTTGAGTCTGCGTATCGCAAATACTAGTTGACCTCGGGTCATCGGATAGGGGTCAACCCGTTCCATATGGTGGTGCGCCATCTTGATTCCCGGCGCCTTTGGTTCGCCGAAGCCGTTGCGAATAGCCAGGTTAAATTGGTGCTTTGGGTTCAAAGCAATTAACTGACAATCTCATGCTTCTCTCTGCGTAAGGTCAACACAACCAATTTTCCAAACCGTTTGCTCTTTATATCAGTGATAAGATTTGTTAGCTTCCGTTGACGGCCAGCTTGTATCAGTTGTGTAAGACAGTGGAAAATGGTCTATCTACTTTCTGACTACATTCTTATCATGTGAGATAGGCATCGGTGATATGTGTGCATCGGCTTATCTTTATAGTTCCTCTTTGTGTGGATGAAATCCGTTCTGACTAACTGTCATTCCAAAATCCATCATCACACTAGTAAATCAGTGGACGATGATTTGGCCCTGATTTTGCATGCTAATTAACTTAATTCCACTGTGCACCAATTTCACGGATGCGGAGAGCTACTCGTGTGTGTAATTTATCGTAATCTACTGAGCCATTGTTTTGCCTGGCTGCTGCACCTCCTGAACCATATGATCCGCCCCCATTTTCTACTCATGTGTGATTCAACTATCCTCGAACATGCTAAGTATAATTTTACACAAGATATTGTGATCTAAACACGAAGTTCGCTGCAGGTGCAGTTGAAGCCGGGGCACCACAACACATCTGTCAACCGAGGCACATAATAATGCGCTCAGCTCCATCGTGCTTAGACTTCAGTTTAGCTTACTGTGAACAACATATACATCAGTGCCATTAGGTCCGATCGCCAAGGTAAGCCAAGGAATCGTGGTGGTGGTGTCATCGCGTGGGTGAACCAACTCATGTGCAACTCAGTCAACCAAATATTCACTCATTCTACAATCTCTACCAGCTGGCAATTACTTGAACGCAAGCCTGAATTTCTCAGTGGCTTTCAATCCGCTGTCATTGGAAGCACCTACATTGTTTCTCAGATATTATAGTCCGAACTGAGGTGTTTAGCTACGCCAATTTCATTGGAAATACTGCGGAAACCAGTAAGCAATGCTTACATTGTTTTCGGTGAATTTAATAAGTAAGATACAATGTTCTTCATGTCACTTGCTCTGGCAAATTTAGTAGCTCTCTAGAGCAGACAAGACGCACAACTTGATGTTGCTTACATAAACAAAAGTCATTTGTTTTCCATTCAAATTCGTGCACCACAAGGTAACTCGGACCACTGTATACTCAACATGTGCCCTATCATCTACAGTGAAACTAATCATGATGCATTGATGGAAGGACAACTCAAGACTATCCGAAGACGCAATTGATCGGCGGGAAATATCGCACGACATCAAGCAACGCTTTCTTCAACCGACTTTCAGTAGTTACAGATGCAGATCTATTGCTTCAATTTGATTATCTCACGAGCTACTTCCAACTTTTCTTTTAGTTGTGCTGCCAGATAGAAATAATCTGGTTCCGAATACAGCGATTTCCTTCACTTCCGTTGAAACAACTTTGAGGGACCAGAGAAAGTGCTCAGAGCGCTCAATATGTCCACCCGATTCAATAGCCTCAGTTTAGCAACTAAAGCTGAAATAACAAGTCTAAGTTGTTTAGACATTGCAACGGTACTGGGAAACCATAACTGCCGAGATCTCTGGAGGCTGTTGAAGCAAATCTGTGGTAAAAGTCATCGGTTGCACTGGGATTGTGGATGTTGACAAACTCATTCCTGTGATTAATTCTTCTCGATCGAGCGCTTTTTTAAGCCTTCTTTAATAACTTAGTCCCTCGCGAACATTTTGATCAATTTGACTTCAACAGAGAACGCAACAGGCCAAATTAAAATAAAGCTGGTGGCCCTGATGGTTTATTACTAGTGGTCATGAAGCAGTGCGCCGATTCCCTCAAATCACCCCTGACTGATATTCTTAACAAGCGTCTCACCACCAGTGTCATCCTTGACATCTGGAGATCAGCCAGAATAACGGCAGTGACAAAAAGGAACCTCAAACGTATCGGCCTATTGCTTGTACTTCCGTGCTCTTGAAAGTTTTCGAAAAGCTACTAGTTCCACGAATTTTCACAGCCACTTTAGCTGATAGTGTCTATCAGTTTGCGTTTAGACCCCATCACTCCACACTTGTTGCTGTCTCGTACCTTGTGCATTCAGTAGCCTCTGTGCAATATAAAATGTGCAGCTCTGTACGACTACATTTTCTTGATTATTCAAATGCGTTTGGGAGTCTTGACTGATCAGTACTGCTTAACCAACTTTATTTAAACGGAATGCACCCTGATATATGTAAATTGTTGCAGGATTATTTCATTGATCATATGCGCTTTACCCAGTTAAACGTCTAAAGCTCCTTCATGCTCCGCGCTGACTTTGATCTAGCGCATGGTGCGATAATCTCACCCCTTTTATTCCCTTTATATGTCAAAAGTCTCCCTATTCCAATAACATTTATTCGATGTAAATATTCTGAGGATGCTGTCTTGGTTTGTAGAGCTCTCTCCATTGTGACCAGGCAGTAGTCTTGCCTTAGTATTTCTCCAGCGAAGAAGAGGAAAATTTTGATAGATTTTCTATAGGTCAAAAGCCCATTTACTTGTAAGCAAACGCCTCCTTCTTGCACGCCTCTTCCAAAGGAGAAATGCATCAACATGATATCAGATTCTTCCTTTCAGGAAGAGCTTCACTATTTCTCCCTGTCTGCTTTCTGGTGTAAAACTGAGAACAAATACCCTGTCAAAGAAAAGATAACTGTCGAATTGCTTCTCCCATTTGCCACAACTAATCTGTGTGAATGTGAATTTTCGCATTAGACCTGTACAGAAACAAAACTACTGCAATATAATTGAAGCTGAACCAGATGTGAGGTTGCAGCCTTCCTCAATATCACCAAATAGAAAACAAGCCAGCCTTGCATATCAAAAACAACTAGGTCCCACACATTAAATTACGTAATCTTTCTACATAAATACAGCAGCTTTCATTTTTTAATAACATTAACAAACATCTGCGTTAATTCAGTGCACATTAATGATAGTTTTCAGTACACACTGCCTTATTCCCATTTTATTAAATTCCAGCCCAGTAGTTAACAATATGTCAGGGGGTCTGCTGAGCGAGGCTCCACTAAAAGGGGGTCCGCGTGTCAACACGTTTGAAACACCCTGTCCCATCGAACTATAATAAAGTAACTCTTCATGGATTCAGTAAGATCAGTCACGCAGCTCACTTGCTACCAAACTGAGCTTTTGTCTACCAGAATAGTTATGCGCATTCGGTGTGTGCACAGGGTATCTTGCGGTTTCCGACAACGCAAGATTAGCATTCATGCCGTTCCGAATGTGTTGTGATACACCCAATGCATCAAGGTGGTAAGAATCCTACCGCACTTTGAAATCTTTGGGTGAAGCAAACCATTAGCTTTGCGCGGCTGTTTCACCGGGAGGCTTGCTCATGGTAATAAACACACTGGATATGTAATTGAACGAAAATGTTACAAGTCACCGGTAAGGCACTGAATTTATATTTGTGTCTGTATATGTAGGTGGGAGAGCCTATAGTGCGCTGAGGCTGGTGGTGGCTAGATGCTGACAAATGGTCTACCCAGTGCTGCTACAATGGTACCATGGCCTCATGTCCTGGACTCCTCCTCGTGGCGACCGATAGTTGGGAGTTGGGTTACGCCCTTCTCCCTGCTAAGATACAGGACACCAATCCGTATTTGTCAGTAAACTGATCATGTGCTAGACCCGCTGCCTTTCGGGTGTACATTTCATCATAAACTTTGGCTGAGAACCTGACAATTTGGGACGCCCTGCCAGTATCCTAGTACATCCTCTTCGGAGGTTAGGAAGTGCTGGATGGCCCTCTTAGCATATAACCTAGCCATGAGAGACAAAAGATTTACGGGTTGAAGATCACAGCTTGATTGGTTTGGAGCAAGTGCACAACGCATTGTCGCTGGCGGTGGGAGAGCACCTCCGGGTGCTCAATGGTTTACTACTGCAAGATTCACGTCAGACAGTCACTGGTCAAATTGATGCAAACCCGGCAAAACCCAGCTGCATCTGGCCGTGGTCGGAGGTGAGTACTTTACTACGGTCGCAAAATACAAATGAATAGTTCCAGAAATTCAAACGCTATGTGTGATGGACCTCAAGCAGATCCCAATCGGTCTCTCCAATCGCATTCCCGAGCTGCATCTGCTCTCCAACGCCTTGTGTGTCAGGCTATTGAGCCAAAGGCTCTGGGCGAACTCCCTCAAGCAAACCTACAGACACTCCATTGCGTTTTTCATCAAACTCTGGCCTGGGTCCAGGCGCATGGCTTGAAACCCCAGTTTTTATGTGTATGCATCAGACACGGGTCGCCAGATAAACTTGTAAAAGGTAGACGTCACTAGGAGTGTTATACGATTAACACCTCAGCGATTGACTGCCGAGGTGGTGGAAGTTGCCAAATCTGTAGACTGCGTGAATAGAATGGACCGGGTAGAACTCTCTAATGCGTGGCGAGCGATATTGAGCCGGCCAGCCTGACGAGCATCGGTGCGTGGATCAGATTGGAAAGTGCAAACCGACTTCCATTGTCAACACTATGGGCTTATGCGATAATGCCATGAGGTACAAAGGAACACGTGGACTGCGCGCACTGTGAGTAAACCACCTGAGGTGACATCACGAACTGTTACTGTAATGACACCTTGGCTCAAGTCTCGGGTAACGCGTTTATCGTCCTTGTTCGCTATAAAATTACACTCCACTCACGGAGTGTTCAGGCTTAATACCTCGCATACGTCATCGTACGTCCTCATGATATGCTTGAATTGCGCATGATACGTGTATTG